GAAATGGTGTAGCCATTTAACATCTTGGTGTTGCTGACTGGTTATTACCTAAATGGCACATTAACATAATTGGTTTCCTAAAAGGAAAGAAAGCGGCCAAAATTAAAAGGCCATTATTAGGCATATACCTTCTATCTCTGGCACAAAGAGACATGCTCATGCAAGAGGTTTTGGAAAATAAGGTGTTATATATATATTTTTTTCTCTTATTAAAGAGCACATCCACCTAACCAAAACAGAAGTAAGTTTCTCTTAAAGTGTTTATTAGTATTTCATTTTGTGAACACTTATTTTAGCTCAATACTTCAGCTCTGTTATGGGGGAAGAACACAATCAATTTTTTTTGCATGCAGAGTTGAACTATTGAGATTGACATGGCCAATATAAGCACATAAAATACTGATTAGGACAGTATAATGATAACAATCACGCTAGTTCAACTCTGTTATGGGAGAAAAATGCAGTGATTGGGATAATTTTTGGCACAAAGTACAATAAATATGGTGAAGTGCAGTGATATTTCAGTAGTTCAACTACTGAAAACAATTGTTGATCATTTGTTTCCGTAACTGTTGAACTATTGAGGCTGACGTGCCCTTGTCAATCTCTCTACAGTAGTTCAACTCTGTTATGGGGGTGATCAATTGTTTCCATAACAGAGTTGAACTATTGAGGTTGACGTATTCCTGTCAATGTCTCTACAATAGTGCAGCTCTGTTATGGGGGGGTGGGGGGGATACAGTGATCAGGATTTTTTGGGGCACAAAGTACAACAATAAACATGGTGGAGTGCAACAATGTGTCAGTAGTCCAACTCTGTGGGAACAAAATAACAGTCATCAATTGTTTCCATAACAGAGTTGAACTGTTGAGCTTGACAAGGCCTTGTTAATCTCGCTACTGTAGCTCAACTCCATTATGCATTAAAACATAACAGTTATCACTTTTCAGTTACTGTAAAACTATATGCACAAATTGTAAAATTAGCAGCACTTTCAGTCAACCTTTTGAGCCCTCTTGAACTGACTGTCTGTCATTGGAAGGCACATGAAGCCACCACCTGCATTGATGGCATTCGATCTGAAAAAAGAAAGAAAAATAACTGAGAACTACATGAACACTTCACAGTTGGTTGTGTTACTGTAAGTCATTCTCCTCAAATGCTATTGAAGTTAGAAAAGTATATACCAGTGTCGTATGTAACTTTAGAGACGGTCCCTAGATTTGCGAATATCTAATGCCCGGAAATGACACCTCTGGCCATTCCGTTGGGTCGTTTGTAAAGTCACAGATACTGTACGGACAATACAGCTCAGTTTTTTATGTATCTTGCTCTGTTGAATGGCAAAAGTGACTTTACTAGGCTATACTGGATTTACACCATGCATCTCCTGTCAGCGGGAAAGCCGCGCCCCCAGCTATCACAAGACCCGACCAAGTCCATGGTTGACACCCTCTCATTAGCATGTTGTGCAGAGGAAAAATAAATGTGGAACTACATTCAGAAATAAATTAGTGATTAAAGGAAAATAAATAGGATGAGTTTAGCATTTCCTTAAACATTTTTCATTTGCCCACCAATTTATTTTATTTATTTGCCTACTTTAATCACGTTTAATTATTTCTATATGTATTTAAACAAGAATACGTGTATTTATACACACATTTATTTATTTATTTGCATATTTATTTATTTGTGTATTTATTTATTTATTGTTTTTGCAGGTTTCGTCCTCCATAGATCAGTTGTTCCATAACAGGATTGAACTATCAAGCTTGAAATGGCCAATTTATGGACAAAATGAAATATTGATAATATTGACAGTGTAGTGATACATTTTATGTTTATATTGGCCTTGGCAGTCTGTCTAGTTCAACTCTGCTATGGGGAAAATTGCAGTGATCATTATCTAACAATTGACTATACAAAATGTGCTGTGGTGTAATGATATTTGCTAGTTAAAAATGTTAGACGCTGTACTGATCTTAAACACTTTAACCTTAAACCCTGTAAAATGTTGAATGCTACAGGGTTGGTGCAAAACGTGTTTAAAGAGAAATGTAATGGCTTATTTTTTATTATAATTTGTGATTCATTACAAGGCACATTAACTATTCAAATTATAATTAAACTAGTGACTTACTGTGACAGGGTTGAAATAATGTAGCGTTCATATATCATTCACTAGAAAATGTTTAAGACCTTAAGACTGAGATTTCTTGAAAATTAAGAAGTAAACTTCATATGACATGACTAAAAAATAGATATATTCCATCAGAAACATCAGTAGAAACATGCAACAGCACAATAAAACAGTCCCAACACTTTTTTCACAACAAAAATTTATTAGAAGAATAGTGGTTTTCATAAGAAGGTTCTAGCATCCAGTGAATACTAACTTGCACAATGTTACAATTAAAATGCATTGAAAAATGGCATTTTTTTCTTAATGGGTAAAATATAACCAGTAAAACTCCACACATGCACAAATACGGATCTAATCAGCATTTTGCTTAATGGTCAATGCAAATAAAAAGAAAGAAAACTTTTTTTTTGTTTGTTTTTAAATTAGACCACAGAAAATCTAATCAGTTTTTTCCTTTTCTTAAAAAAAAAATCACATACATTAGGAGACAGCTTATTATTCATTAGCCCAGCTCAAAAATAAGAATTTGCATTCAAACAGAAAACAAAACAAAACAAACCCAAAACAAATAGTGCAATCAAACAAAAATAATTGTGATCCTCGTAAGTGCTCTAACACGGACATCGATAATAGTCTAGAATAAAAGTCAAACAGTACAAAAAAGAACAAATGAATATACATAAATCTACAGTACAAGAAAATATTAAACTATACAATGTTTTTGTCTAAGAGTAAACAGTATATATTGAAATGAGGTCTATTCCAAATTTGGATCGCCTGTCTTCCACCAATTGGACTGACTCGAAGGAACCAGTGTGTTACAGGTCAAGATGCCATTTCGTAAAAAGCACTCGTTTCGATCTAGATGGTCTGAGGTATATCGAAAACAGAGACGATTCGGAAAAAGCAGCACCTTATCCCACACTGGCAAACCTGCTCGTTTTAAAAACCGGATTCCGTCTCGTATTAAAAGAGTTAACATGTAAGTATTTCATTTTTTGCCTTAAATCAAGCTTGAACTTTTGAATCCAAGCCTGTGTGGAAAACAACAAACACGCTGCCTGTTATCAGGCATCACAAACTAAAACCCACGATGACAAGAACAACAGGAATGTTTCAAGAACTGAGGGAAAATAACAAAAACTCAACACCAAGACTAATCGAGGAGTAAATGTTCCGCCCTTGTTTCACACGACCACTTTATTATAAACCATTCCTGTCTTTCTAATGATAATTATAGATGATAATCAGCAAAGCGCAGCCAGTTCGTAAATCCTTCAAGTATCTGAGCTTTTTTGACAATAAGAGTAGGCACCTAAAAGCTCGAGAAAAGAAAAACAAGCACAAAAATAAAATCAGACCTCAACGTAAAGCCATTCACATATTGAGAGGCAGTTTTTTCGTTGAAATACTTACATGCTAAAAGCAGAGATCGAAACTACCAATTACTGACTGCAAATGTGAAAGATCAGGCCTTGCGCTGTAGAGGTACGTCTGTATAGGAGTGCTGAGACCGGTCGACCACTTTCATTGAGGGCTCTGATGTGGTGTTTGTCGCTATAGTGTTCTATTGTCTTCAGGCATTTGAGGCACAGTGTGTGCAGAAGAAATTGTAATGAAAAGCACTGTCTGGCTGAGTGTTGCTCTTCACCTGAAGTTTCAGCTTGACATTCATTTCGTATATTGTACTTAAGTCTGGATACAAACAATACAAAAACTAAAAAGGACAGAGGAAAACAAATTAAGCGACAACAGGTTAAAAATGACTCTCGTCACGAGTGACCATTTTCTTTTGCTCAATTTTTCAAATTATATGTAAGTTTTTTTGTCATATTTTAACAGCTAGGCCGCAGAATCTAGAGAAAGTACCTGAATAGATTAAATCAGTGTCGTTTGTTCCTGAGGGATTCGTAGTTGTGGCTTAATAATAGGGTTTAAGATAAATCGAGAAATGGTTTAAGGAACATTTTTCTTCTTTCGTTTCACAGATGATCATGAAAACCACTACTCTGAGGCTTGTCTTATCAGAAATCGTAAGATTTAGTGTGCAAGAAATGGTTTATCCACAAAATGCATGAGCAAAAAGTGAAAAATAAAAACCTCAAGCAATTCCACACACTCATACACAACCAGTTCACAGCTACGGAGACGTTTCACTTCACACGAGAAATTATACTAGTAATAAACATCATTATCGTTAAGAAAAAGCAGTTGCAGCAAAGCACACCCAGGGCGCGTTTCCTCATCGTAACGAATAAGGATGATTTTCGGACATCGTCCGATAGAGATCCAGTGTTCACAAACAATTTTAACCATCCTACTTCTGAACTTAAATTTCATGTACAATTAGCAAGCAAAAATAACAAGCAATACCGAAAAACCTGGCTGATAACTTTTTTTCCACGGGGAAAATTAATTTACATCACCGACTGATGTCGCAATAAATACTTTAAAATCACTTAAAATTATGTTTAACCAAAAGGGTAAAATAAAATAAAATAATAAATAAATAAAATTGCGGAATTGGTAGTTGACTATATACACATCCACCTTAAAAAGTTTGAGCTTACTCTTAATATATATTTTTGTTTGTACAGTATTGTGGAAAAACACAACTGTCTGCACCACTGCAGCGTTAGATGCCTTACAATAACTTAATTTATTCTTTGTTTAGCTCACTTCAAGACTAACTACCATTATGTGGACGATAAAAGAAACGTGTGAGCAAGTCTAAATATACTGCACTGAAATGTTTGTTCCCTGAATCAAATGAGGAAGAGATTAACATCTCGTTCCAGAAGATAAGTATATAACTATACAGAACATTATATACAATGCACTGTGACTGTTGAGTGTATATATATATATAAGAACACATTAATTTAATAATCTATAGCTTGTCCTAAAGTATGTATAGTTACATAAAAAGTTAGTTTGTGTGTTAAGAGTTTCATTTTTTATTCTTTTTCCCCCTACATTCAGTTTAGCTGATAATGAGAATGAATGATGAAATTACGTTCGACAAATGAGTGAACTATGGCTTATGCTCAACAGACTACCTCTAGAAAAGACGAAGCCTATCTTATCACTTAAAAATCTGGTTTTGAATGGCCAAATTTGGAGCTGCAACTTAATTTATGGTAATAGACCGGAATCTGCAATTAGAAACATGGTACTTGGTCTGATAATTACTGTTACTTTGAAATGGACTGTAAAAATAAGCATCTACTACTGAGGCAATTTCTTCCCTTCCTAAAACGGCATTCACACTGTCTTCGATAAAAACGCTGGAGGTCACAAAGTTGCTGTACTGTTGGTTGCTAGAAGACGTTCCTACTCAACCACAGTATCCAAATGAATCAGGTGACAAATCACAGTCTAGACTCCCATTGGTTGTCACCGCATCACTACGCATTTGCATAAAGTTATATAGCTCAACTTTGTCGCATCATCAACAGTCTGACGCTCAAGTCGCCTCAAATCGCCAACTCTTATTGGAATCGAGTGACTTGCAAAGTGGCGTCAGTGTGAACGCCGCTAAACATCAAGCACAGAGGAACGATGAATGGAGTAATGGTTAATTTGTTCCTGGGACTAAAAAACAAACATAGGAAAGTAATGAAACCTCCACAACATATAAAGGACAGTGAAATGAAAGAAGAAGAGGCGTCTGACAGACATGAGAGGCGGGGAGGCAGTGAACGGGGTTCTATCTACATGTGGAGGCTGTCAAGATTTACATGGATTTATTATCTGAGGTATTCTGTGTTGTAAGGTTTTTTTCTTTAAGTTGAAACATCACATATTGTACAGACAACAGAAACAAAAGAAATAGTCTTTGTGGCCTTGTGGGTCTCGAGGGACCGAACAAAATATCTAAACTTAGAGCGTCCATTTATTTATTTATTTTTTTGTTTTCCCAGGAAATTTGTACTTTACAATCCTCGCTGTTTATAAAGCACTGAACTAAGGATATTTGGCTGAATCTTTTTAAATGCAAAAGGCGGTCTGATAAGGACATGCAGTTGAGTTGTCCGGCTGTTGGGTGACCTGCTTTCTTGGGCATGCGACAACAAACTCACTTTTCTCAAGTCAAGGGGACTTAAATCACGAGTATTGCCTCGCTGGACTCATTTTCCCACTCATAGTTTAATATTGCAAAATAAAATCACCAAAAATGTTTTTTTTTACCACTTTACTGGTGGGATTCTGAATTATGGGTGGTAATAAAATGGAACCTAAAGGCAAGCGTTTTTTTAAAGTATTCACAATATCAATAGTATTAAGAAATATAGAAAAGGTATCAATCTTTAGCCGATCCTAATCATTCCACTCTCATGCATTAACCTGAGGGGGTACGGGAGAAGGGATCTGATCCTCATACTACACTGAACGCCGAACCTTTACAACGTTAAGACTCTACTTTGAGAATTCCTACGAAACTTTAAAAATGTATTTTGAAAATATGAACACAAACTGAACAGATAGCCAAAGGCATTTTTGCTCCATAAAACTTACGACTCCATACATGGAAAAATCTACAAAAAGTGTAAGCACAGCACCCCATCGAGAGATAAGATACTGCCCACAGACTGCATTTGGCTTGAATTTCAAGGGCACAAACTAATATGGTGTGGCATGACTATACTAGATTCTTGAGGAAATACACATAACGACGCGTTTCCAACTTTAGAGGTGATCGGTCAACCTGATTCTTCCCAAACACTGGTCTTAAAAGCAGTTGAGATGCATAACTTGGGACCTTTTGGTCCAAAAAAATAATTACCTCTATCAAAAATGTGACTTATTAGATACACATATGTGCATGCGGAATGTATAACTGCTTTCCGACTGAACGGGACCGCGACTTTGGGAATGACGAGCCAGTGTTATCCGTGCATCTGAAATGCTACATACAGTACAGCACATAAGCCGATCAAACCGCCAACATGTTTCCACAACCTGATCGACAAAAGCCTGTAGGGACAGTCAGTCCTTCAAGATACAAGTCATTTTTGCTTAACTACCAAAGGGCTCCTATGTCAAAACCATCTGAAAGTTGAGGTAGCAAAACTAATAATCCTAATCCCGCAGAACTCAATGGACTGCAGGGTTGAAACAGTCATGGATGAAGTTAATGGTCAAGAGCAGATTCAGGCATGAAATACCATGCAATGCCAACATAGTAAAAGGACAAATTGCAGAAGGAAGGACTCTTGTTTGGAAACATTGTAACTCCCAACACATTTTCAATCTAATATTCTCTTAATTTCTGTCTCGGCAAATTAGCAAGAAAACCAAATTAACACAAACTAGGTCTACATTTCAATGGTAGAAATAACATAAAATACAGAAAATAAACAATCTTGGTATAAAATAAAAAACGGGAAAAGAATGTGGGTTTTGCCTTAATAAAAGCATAATTGGAATAGACACACCTTTACTTGTGAATGATCTTGCAAGACTGTCATGGCAACACAAGGGCAGCCCTTTCACGGCCCAAAGCTCTCAAGTTCTCTAGAAGAACGTTGGCCATTTGTTCAAGCCCATTTTCTCCTTTCCACTTTCATTTGCGTTTTCACAGCTCTATTTGACCTCTCACTGAGCAAGCATTGAACCTCTTAAGAACGACTAAGTCATCATCGTCAGCCATATTAATATTTCATTCTAGAGACAGTAGAGGCAGCGGTCTGGTGTTGAATTTTTATGGCTCTGTTCCATATAATTCACAGCTTCACTCAAGCCTTCGAAGGAAGGGTGTAATTTTATTGATATTAAAATTCTTTATGTTGTCCCTGTTTTTTAATGTTGACTAGAAAATAACTTTTGGATTTGAACTTAGTTGTTTGATTCCCCTAAAAAGCGTAAATACTGGTAAATACTCAAAACATTGATCAGGGGTGCGTTTCCCGACAGCATTGTTAGCCCACTATGGTTGCATGTTCCGTCGTTACCAACATAGTTCAACAATTCAGTGTTTTCTGAAACCACAGTTCAAGCGAACATTCACAAACAGCATCGCAAACTTACGTGGTTGGGACTACAGCTCTCCACCTGTGGTTAGAAGCATAGTTTCTTGTTAGTAAGACGTGGGCTTAAATAAATGATGCTCTTGGGCACAGGAAGCAAGCTAGCATGCAGTAAAATCTATATCTTCCATCCTATTTAAAAAAATGTGTAATATATATATATATATATATATATATATATTAGCATGTCCTCAATAAGCTCAGTTTTTGAAGTGCATAATAAAGGGAACCCAATCAAATAAAGCAAATTGACAAGAAAAAAAATAGTGAAGTAGTCATTAGCTGCCATGTTCATTACAGCAGCATCTCAGAGATCTCAAATAGATTAATTAGCAGAAGTTATTACTTCACCACATGCGTGTCACATTATTAACAACCGTCCTATATTGTTGAACCAATGTGGTTCAAACGACGGAGATGCGACCATGTTTGGGAAACAGTCGTGAATAGCTACTTAGTTTCTACAACGATGCATCATTATGGTGGTTAAGCAGCGAGTTACATCGTTGTAGGGGAAACGCACCCCTATTTGTTTGAGCATCCTGACCACAGGTGCATTTCTGTCAAGTTCTGTCATTAACAAAAGAGTTCAACGGAATTTTCGACCCTAGTTGGCTAACGATGCTTTTGGGAAATGCACCCCAGCCTAGCATAGCAACATTGGCTTAACCAATAGTGTGTTGGGGGTGTGGTTATCTGTTTGCTGGACCAATGAAAAACCCCGAGAGTGTTTAAAAACAATTTCACTAGTGGCGACATTGATTCAATATAATTTAAGAAAAATAACATATAGATTGAAAGTCGCCTTGGTTAATGATTTTCGATTGTTGTTACCAATTATCAGTATGTGCGACATTGATTCAATATAATTTAAGAAAAATAACATATAGATTGTAAGTCGCCTTGGTTAATGATTTTCGATTGTTGTTACCAATTATCAGTATGCATTATTGGCTCATTATCGTTTCAATTAATTAGTAAACGAGGATTAATCATGTAATAATGATTGAATGCAATTATCAAACTATTGGTGACGATTGAACACTGCAAAACAGGCACTCCGGATGACACCGATATTCTAACGAAATGCATAAAGTATACAGTATCATGGTGAATGCAAATATCGGAGTTGATCTATTCTGAGCTAAACTGTCTGTGCATATTCCATCAGTTTTCTCTGAGACATGTTTCTCTAGAAGGTTACATTCCAAACATGTCTTTTACCATGGCTTGTGCTGCGAATTGTACCATTACAAATACTGCTTCAAATGAGGGATATCTAAATCTAATAAAATATTTGGCTTAATATCATGCCATTAAATGAAAATGATGGCCCCTAAAACTACTTAACATCATCACAAACACAGAAAACAGTTAATGGTGCAAGTAACTTTATCCTCTTAAGTGCATAGATTGACAGTATGAAGGATATCTAAAATTGGACTACAATGTTTGCCGACAATTTGTTTCTCCCAATTTCAAAGATGTTTTCTGTCGAATAAAGGTGTGCCTATTCATTTTCATTTTGCCAAAATCAGTGGGGGGAAAAAAAGTTACAAACTCGAAAGACCTGCAACATGACAAGATAAAAGATAATTCTGGGCTTAAACAAAAAAACAAAACAAACGAAAAAAAATGTTAAAAAAACAAAAACAAAATACAGTCACAACTCAATATGTATCTAAATGACATTGAAAAGAGACATTTAATCAGATGCAAGAATAATAATAAAGACAGCTAATTTGGAGTGCCTATGTGTCCATATATGCCTTTTCTGTTTCTTTCTCATTAAGATATCAAACCATTAGCCTAAAACTGTATAACCACCCACATGATGTAGACCTGATGGTGTTTTGTGTGCATGTGAGTGTATATTAATTGTGATGTACAAATGTGTGCCCAGGGCTCGAAATTAACTTTTTTACTTGGTAGCACTGGTGCTCCCAACTTCAAAATGTTAGGAGCACCAGCAAAAATTTAGGAGCACTCACCAAAAATTTAGGAGCACCACAACTACAAATTATATATTAACAGATTTTATCCTTACATTCTTAACTTTAATGCAGATTTTGTATTGGTTAATATTAGCTGTCAATCTCTCAGTCACTGCTTTCTGCTAACTACCGCGAGAAAAAGAAAGGGCTGAAGAAGAGAGAAAATGAAAAGAACACTGACAGATTTCTTTTGTAAATAACCTAAAGTTAAGTGCTTCTTTGGCGAGGGTTAGGATGGTGTATGCGGTGTTAAATTTTACATTCAGTTCTGCCAGTTGCACCGAACGGCTGGCAGCTAGGGGTGTGCGATATTGACAAAAAATTATATCTCGATATTTTCTGGGATTTTATCGATAACAATAATTTGACTGAGTGTTACTGTGGACTACAGTGGACAGCTGACTCCTAAAATTTTTAATATTCATATTCGGTGTGGTGGTCAGTTCAAAGCAGTGACAAGAAATTAATCTTTTCCAATAAGTTTAAATAGATTTTTACCTTTTATGGTCATTTTTACCTTAAAGCCATTTTTTCTAAAAGTGTGCATTATCATTTGAGTCAAATTCTTATATTTAATCAGTCAATTATAATAAGACATTTGGGCTGTTATCAAGCAAATGAAAGTATCAATCAACAAAATTCATCTTTGCAATGCAGAGGAAACACAGCACATCGTAAAACAACAATTACGAAATGTGTAGATTCGGTGGCGAACGCTGTTACCTGCAAACTCCGTCCCACAGGCTTTACAGTGAACGCAGTGCATAGAACCATTTTCATAGCGGAGCCACTAGAAGTCTTTCAACCACTCTCTCCGAAAACTGTACGCCTTCTATTCGGCTGGTGGATCAACATTCACCACATGATCGCTATCACCAGCACCATTATTTGTAACTTTAGGTGGTTCACAAAATAAATCTGTCAGTGTTTCTTTTTTATTTTCTCTCTTCTTCAGCCCTTTACATTCCCCGCGGTAGTTAGCTCCCTGTCACCTGACAGCGGAAAGCAGTGACTGGGTGATTGACAGCTAATATTAACCAGTCTAAAATCTGCATTAAAGTTAAGAATGTAAAGATGAAGTTTAATTGGTTATGTAGCCTAACGTTTCATAGAACGGCAGACAGGTCACCGTATCAACACTCAGAAGGCACATACTCTGAACGTTTTTAGAGAAATTAAAACAGGTCGCACGACAACAATTATATGCACTCGCACAAATGCTCCCAAATATATTTTGAGGTCGCACAGATTACATTTCGGGAGCATATGCGACCAAAATGGTCGCAATTTCGAGCCTTGGTGCCCTATTGATTTGAACTTTCGTGTGCTATCGTCAAGAGAGTTGCATTGAAAAAGAGACCCGTGGTTCAGTTAAGCAAAGCATTAATATTTTAAAACGCACTGGAGGAAAACAAAAATGCCACTAGCGTCATTTATAAACTGCTTCCTTGAAAAGTAATCGTTGCGGTTTTGGAAACGTGTAAAAGTCAAGTACAGGTCCTGATTTCTACAACTAAATGTAGAATCAGCTGCTCTGGGAGATCTCACCTGAGGTAATGCGGAAGGCTATCTGAGCATCTTTTCAGAAAAGAAGTCATTATGAGCCACTTGAGACAAACAAATGGCACTTCATATGGTACAGAAACTGAGGTTGTAGCTGTCAGTGTCGTTTTCCCATCATTTCTTAGTGTAGCATTTCAATTTCAACCAGAAAAAAAAGACAAAAGATAAACAGTAAAATAAATATAATATATATTCATTTGTATATGTATAGATTTTTCTTCCATATAAAGGTATCACTGGAAATTTTTGGAATGCAGTTTAAAAACAAGTTTACAGAAACAACAGAAGGTTAACATTTCCACCTGTCCCATATTCTCCCCTTCAAACCTCCATTTGTGTTTTTCACAAAAACACCCATGACTGTTAAATCACATTTAACAGTATACAGGAAAAAGGTATTGTGGCTTACCTACAGTATCCTTTGATATTTGCCTTGACGATCAACGTTATAAGTTAACTTAAAGGATGGGACCCGTTATTGGCAAGATGAGAATGTTAAGCGAAATTTTTGATTGTATTCAAAAAGTTCGATTTTCTGTACCTGAATGAAAAGGGTGTAAATATTGGTCAGTCAGACACATGAAATGCCTCGCTTGCCATCCCTCTCATAGAAGACAACAAAGAGGGTGAAATAGAGTTTCCCAGAGTTTCAACTGTTCCTTTTCCAAGTGCCCATGAATGGTATTTAAGGATGTGGCACAGAAAGGTGCGTTTATTCCCGAGGATGAGGTATATTGTGCAAAGACTGTAGTTAATATAACATGTCTATGCACGTCTTGTACAGGTAGTTATGTCTGCATCGTTATCCGACTGACAAATATTGCGAACCCTTCTGCTGAATCTATCCTGAGATACGAAAGTACTGAAGGCTACAGGTGTACGTTTCAGAGAAACGCAAAAACACAAACAATTGAAACACGAGCAGCAAGAGAAAAACTAAAACAGTCTGTTCAAAGTATGAAATGTGAAAGTGCCATATTTTCTAAACAACTAGTTAGAAGTTATTCGTAAATGGTTTTACATTCATTTGAGTAAAGACAGTATAATTTCTTCAAGAGGAGGATGTTTTTGGACAGGGGGAGCCGTTAACCCTGTAATACATTAATCATTAAAGTCAAATTAAATAAATATGTTGAAATGGCATGCACCATAGTGAATCAGACAGCTGATGATAAATAAAGGTTGCAGAATGTACAGTAGCATTGTGAAAGTTCAAAACTTTCTAGATTAGCAATAAAGAAGTGATCGTTTGAAACTTTTAGATTTAAGTGCTGCAAAACAACTTCCAGTCATTGCCATCAGTGCAAAAAATATTAAGTGCCAATTATAGGGGCAAATATTCAATTATAATAGAATATGTATGTACTAGTAGTACTAACAATCCAGTTGTAGCTACTGATCTACTACTAATTTACTAGTTGCACTTCAAACTAATATTTGTATCTTGTTTTACAGTAAATATTTCAAGTAATTTTATTTGGAGAATCCAACTAAATTTATACTTAAAAGGAGAAAAATAAATCTGCCAAATAAGAAGAAATAAGGGTAAGGAAAATGTAATTCAAGGGTTTCAAATTTTCTAAGAAAACGTATCTTGACTTGCGCATCTTTAATATTTTTACTGTAAAACAAGACAAAAATACTGGTTAAGAAATGTTTAAATGGCAAGAGTCAATCAAAACTGAGTAGTATTTTACATCAAATTGATTAATAAATAAATCTAATTGACTGATTGATTGATAAAGGACCTAACTAATTTCTAATTAGACACTTCAAACGCTCAGCATTGGTAAAGTGTTGGTGCATTTGATGCCAGATGACCTAAAGGGATTTACACAGTAGAGCTTATACGTATGAATATGATTCTAACTTAGTTATGACTCTTTATACATAAAATTCTTTCCTTCGACTTGTTTCATGTAGAAGTACAGCAGCATGTGATCATAATTTATAAACTGAACCAAATATGTCACATCAGTGGTTTACTACTGTACGTTGTATTGATTAAAATACTCTGATTTCTATTAATTTCAGTAGTGTCTCCACACATGGCTATAATTGCAATTCAACTTCATTAAACAAAGCTAACAACACAAACATTTTTGCTTTGTGAAATAATAATTTAAATGACACCCATACTTACAAGTATAGTATTGTAGGAAATATATACAATTTATACAAGCCTAATATAATGTGGGAAATTACTAGAATTACTTGAATTCACTAGGTCTAATATTATAAAGGTGAGCCCAGGACAGTGATCCCGGTTGTCTACAACCCCGCCACCAAGTGTCAGATTATAAATAGTAAATCAGCCTCCACTTAACTGGTGCATGCCATTTACTTAAATGATTCAAATTAAATAATGAAATAAATAAAAGGTACATTTCAAAGAGTCCGTTTCATCATCAGAAACCCTGAAGTTTGAAGTATAATTTTTGTCACAGACTGGGTGAGCACCAGGCAGTGATATATACCAGAATGCCCTTCATAACAGCATCAAAGTGGAGCATGCCATCCCAAAAGCCTTCTCTTTGAAATCTTCACAGATCTATGTGCTTTTTCGGTTTTATATACATCAGACGACACAGTTTAGATTTGAAAAAGGGGCAATGTGACAATAAACAGCGAGGCAACACTAGACAAATCTGAGAATTTAAGCTGTCGACCACTGAAGAGGTAATTTTTTCAAAACAAAATGAGCATGTTTGGGTCTAAGTTGCAGGATGCCAGGGGTCATTGAAATGCTCCCCCTTTGATCTTGCAAGTCTCCTTTATGCTATCTGCTACTGCAAAAGCTACTTTAAAACACACACCCAAACATATTAACTTTTCTTTTTAAACAAAGTGCTATGTTCAGAGAGATCTAAGAAAATTCCCAACTGGCCAGGTGTTTCGAACGATAACATCCCACCAATATCTGCAATCCATGGCTCAGCTCGACCCAACCTACGCTCGGTATAAAGCCTTGCCCCTAACCCAACTCACTGACTGAGAATTGTGTGTCAGGTTCCAGTTCAAGTAGGTATAATGCATTGTTTCCCTAAAAACATGATCACTATATTTGTCTCAGTTGCCCTGAGTTTTACATGAGGAAAAGAAACTATTCAGAGACAAGAATTGGCTCTCTGAAAGAACGCTAATTTATAATATAACAGGGTTATATGGTCATAACCCTACCTACATTTTCCCCCACCTATGTTCACCAAAACCAAACCTCTGCGAAAATGCTCTTCTTTTTATAAATATACATGTCAGTGACTGACTATAAGCAGCGACGAGGGAGCAGCCAGAATCAGCCAAAAGGTGACTGCGTGCACCCTCCCTCGATTAATTTTAGTAGAAAGATGTGAATCGCAAACACGTTCCTGTCCTGTGTGGCTTAAGTCGGCATTGTCCCTTCATGGGCATTGAAATCCTTTTAAGGGAGAGGCTCTCACCAAGAGTAGAGTACTGTAAAATGAGCATTATCTAATATGCCAGACAGAACAGTAAGTGCGTAATGCAAGCAGTGTCGAGGTAATCAGGTCTAACTGCCAGATTTAGGCTCTGGCAAGCGCCAGACTGAAAGTGTAGTGCAAAAGAAAGCGCTAGAGTTAAAGAAAAGTTTACAGTAAAGTAAAGTAAAAAAAAAATCTTTTTAACATCACAAACATGCATCCCTGAATGACTAATCTTAAACTGTCTAATTCTTAGTCTGTTTCAATGGTGCAGAATATAAAAGGAGGAAACTAAAAAGAGTTGAAAGCAATTGTTTTTACCTGTTAATAGAAAAATGGGCCTAGGATCGATCCTTGGTGAGAATCCTTGTCAACTCCATTTGAAATAAATTAGTTTTAAAGATCATGAATTATTTCATAAACCTACCAATCAGAGGAGATAAACTAATCTTTGATGGGTCAATTTCCAGCCTTGCACGTAACCCTTGAAACCCCGCTTCTCGTTTCTCAAAATGGCATGCCGTCCAAAACGCATGAGCACTAATGGCGCAGCTCGCAAAGTTCAGATGAAGGGGGTGAACAAAGGGTTAATCTGCTTGCCTTTCTTTTTTAATAAAATGTCTCTCTGTCGATACTCTCTTATGGCTTTAGTACGCATTTGTTGCTTTATGTTGTAAAAAACTTCAGCAAATGTTTGCAGTGTCAATGCGACCACTGTGATAACTGCCAATTTGTTTCTTATCCCCAGTTATCAGGCTTAAATCCTCCCATGAATCCCTGCAGTTGTGCTCACCCAGATACTGCAAGTATAAATTGGCACAATTAAAGCCCCATCCTCAATTCCAAATCATTTTAGTTTTTTGAGTCTGTCAGAATCTAAAACGTTTTCCGTTTTATGAGGTGTTCTGTGTTATCTACTCGACTTTTTCTCCTGTCCCCTGCAAGACATCCACTTGCATTGCGATGGGTGTGGTGGCGGGCGTCGACGTGGATTCGGTTTCAGTGGTGATCCCAGAGTCCTGCCCCTCTGCCCTCATCATCAGTTTAAGCTTTTTCTTTGGTGGGTTCTTCAGGGTGCCCAACCTCTCTTTCACCTTGTACTCCAAGGTACTGTGGGGAATACCATAGATGTTCTGCGCCTTCGAAACGCTCATCTTCCCACTCATCACCACAGCAATGGCTTCTTCTAGAATATCGCTGTTGTACTGACGATACCGTCCCCTTTTCTTTCGGGGTTGCTTGGAGCCGGTCGGGTCTGCCTCTGGATCTGATGTCGGGTATTGAGGTCCCAAAGTTGGCTGTTCAAGCTCTGCACCCCAGTATTCACCCACGGCTCCTCCATCTAGAAGGCCTCCGAGAGCGGCTCTGCGACCCTGCTTTGGCAAGATGGCCCTCAGCTTCCTACTGAGCGCATTCTCAGAGTGCACATTGCCCAAAACTATAGAGCTGTAAGTGTAGAGATCCGATGCATTCCCATGGGAGTCCCAAGACAGATCCATGCCTCTGACTTGCGGGATCTTCAAGTCCACTGGAGGGGAATGTCCTGGTTCTTTCTTTACCGTGATGAAACCACTATCATGGGACTTTGTACCCTTGGTGAATGCGCCTTGGTTCTCCTGGAAAAGAGGCAGGTCGTTGAGGTCGCCGCAAACTTGTTTGAGCTTCAGGAGGCCATCTAGATGGGATTTCCCCCATGTCCCATCGCGGGTAAGGAGGGATTGGGCTTGGCTGTTGAGGAGACCCGCAGACTCTAGGCTAGCCAAAGAAAGAGGTTGGCCAAGGAGGCGATGTTTCTGGCTCAGGAGTTCCTCTTTTATGAGGAGCGAGCGGGCCAAGGGTGGCTTGAGGGGTCCAGAACCAATACAGTTCTCCCTTATCCCATCATGCAAGCTTCTCGGTGGCAAGCCATCCTCATCATCAACATCTCGATAGTTGTGATCAGCTCTCTGGGAACGCCTAATTTATGGAAAGATAAAACGTTCAGATGTGAGAATGAGGTATGCTATTGGATGAGGTAGTCTACTTCAGAAAGGCGTAATTCCTTTGTCTCCTAGAAAGTGTATAGGGCAGTTTCCATGAATAGGGTACACTTTAGTGTCCCATTACTTTTTTTATAAATAGAAACAAATACCAAATTTTGTGTGTGTGAGAACTATTAGATTATAAGATTTCTTGACTGCATCCAACAATTAAAGTCAAATGTTGTAATTTTCACATAATCTGATGAATTGATAAACAACTGTAGTAAAACTAATTATAAAGATTAACTTATTTTAAATAACCATAAACATTGTGTTTTTTTTTGTTTCCAACATTTTGCAGTCAACCCTGTTACCACATGATTTCCCCCAATTACGGCATTGGTGACAAGTAAAACATTGTTTTTCCTCAATTTTTACACAAAGTGCAGTGTTGACTGAATTCATCAACCCCAATCATGTAACAATTACCCAAACTTATTGCAAGAAAAAATGGTGAATCAAATGTTTTCAATTTATGGGAAATAAGTTCATCAACTTTCCAGTTGATAAACTTCTTGAATGGGTAACAGGTTAGCAAATTTACAACTGTCACTGAATTCTGTCGCTGAAGTTTGGGGTTAGCTAGTTTGGGACCAAATATTCAGTGACAGATTAACTTATAAATTTGCTAACCTGTTACCAATTCTAGCCTTTTTCATTTAATAAATTTAGTCAATTAAATTACATATATTTTACATATGTTTCATGTTTATTGCTAGGCAACACAATTACTAGGGCTGTCAGTCGATTACATTTTTTATCTAATTAATTACATGATGTGTCGATTAATTAAGCTAATTAATCGCAAATTAAATTTGGCTGTGAAAATACCCACAAAAGATAATTTAAAGCTATTATTGTGTTAAATGAGAAAGTATCAAGTAGACATTTCAAAGAGTAGCTTTAGAAAGAAATATTTTATTTTATTCAACATAAAATTTATTACACATAAATGTTTAAGCTACTAACTTAAACTATAGAACATAAAAGAAGATCATTTGTGAAACATCTGTATTTTTTTGTCCATGCAATGAAAGTCACTGGTAACCGAAACAGCTTGGTTACCAACAGTTTTCAAAATACCTCCTTTTGTTGCGCAAAAGAAATTCATACAGGTTTGAAACATCTAGGCTACGTTCACACTGTCAGTTTTTGGGATTGACAACCGCATTTTCTTTATAGGTGTGAGTCTCGAAATGTCCCGTTCACACAGCAGCTTACAGTTGTGTTTAGAATACTGTCTGTATGAACGCGCAACGGCAGTCAAGCCCGTATTCCTTACCAGTTGCCATAGCGACACTGACCAAAGTAAAATCAAAGATGGCGACGTCCATAAAACTGAAAGTCTTATCACTTTCTGACACGACAAGAGTCCAATAGAGCCGCGAGTTCCTTCGTCAAATCTGCATTAACCGACATCAGATTTTATATTTGGGTGGAGAGCAGAGCATTTGAATCGCGCGCAGAACACAAAACTGACGGGAGCGGCTCTGGTGGAAAACTGACAGGATCTAAAACTTTCAGATGACACGCAGCTCATTTCTCTGTCACTGTAAGTTACCGAAAACACGTAACACATGGTAGACGCGTGTTTGTGCGGCAGAGCGGCTCTCTCTCGCACTGTATGACGTGACAGACAACTAGTTGTCCAGTCTGTTTCCGTTCACACAGGGCGTGTGTTCCGAGAATGTTGTGAGTCCTGAAAATTTACAGGTGTGAGTTCGGTTACAGAATGAGATTGTCACGCCTGTAAATAACCGAACTGTGTGTGAACGTAACCGTATTAAGGACTCAAAAACAGGACTGACAACCGTATTCTGCTGCTGTGTGAACGTGGCCACAGTTTGAAACAACATGAGGGTGAGTAAATGATGACAATTTACATTTTTGGGTGAGCTATCCCTTTAAGGTCTTTTTTTTTTTCCCCAAATGAAATTATACTCCAAATAAGAAACTAAAACTGCCAGCAGGTTGCAGTAAATGTCTTTATGAGTCATTCATTCATTTGATTAGTTTAAATGGCTGATTCATTCAGAAACTAAACACCGCCGTGCTGCTCGGATACACACAACAATGGCTTTATAGGTAATATTTTCGTTGGCAAAACTGAGCAAAAACAGACAATATTGTGTTAAAATATAAAATATAACTTATTTACTGAACTGTTGTATAAAATCACATTTAAACTCCTGATATTTGTGACAAAAACAGCACCCGTGTGATATTGCTCTTGCTGCTCGTGTGATATCGCATATCATATGATATAATTATGTGACAAAAACTCATACTGGGGCATTTTTTGCCCCAATATCTTGAATTTTAGGGCATAACTGCATTTATGGAGTTGATGCCCTGCATCGTATTTGTCAACAGTCAACTGTAGGAAATGTAAGATGATGTACAGGTCTGGGGGCGGGGCCAGTGCGTTAACTGCATTCAAATATTTTAATCGCGTTATTTTTCATAACTAATTAAGTTAACACGGTAAACTGACAGCCCTAAAAATGACACAAATCAGTGTTTTTTTTAAAAGTGTATTTAGACTTCCCAAAATATCCCAAATTTTAACAGGGTTTCAGACAATGCAAACCACATATAAAATGAATAAAGAACAAAACAGCTCATATAATATTTAGTTTGACCCACCTGAGGTTTGGAGTTAACATTTTACAATGTTAAACACCTACCATTTGTTTTGTACCTTATTTGTTTCATAGATGATCATTCACATTCACAGAGAACAAAAAATGTAGAAGTAAAATAAATGTGCCTCTCCTGAGGAAATGATAGTCTGTACCTTAGTTTACTTGCTCTAAAGTGTCTTAGTACAGAAAAGAAAAAGGACACTGTCTGTCTAGGCTGTAATTTGACGGTTCCACAAGGGGTTGTCCATAATCTTCACTTCACTCAGATTACTCTGGGTCATCTGTTCCTATAAGCATCAGCTAAATTATTCAGTTTGATTCATGGCGTTGACCACTGTTCAAATAAAGTACAAACTGCAGGTACGCACCATTCTGTATCAGATTTATACAATTTTTACTACATAAAGACACTGTCATTGTTTAACACTGGTGCAGCCAGTCTTTCTATGAATTTTGCATTACATAGTTTGGGTTAAAATCCTTACAAGTAAATCTAAAATTACAGATGATGCTTTTCACTTACTAAATCATATTTTTGCATATCAGATGATGCTTCTGCAGTGCTCATTTTGTGAGCTACCACAAACAAAAGTGAAACACAAAATAAGCATCTGTGATTGGACAAAAGACTCATCAAGGCCTCTTATTCATGGTTACAGACATGTGTACAACAAACATGTCTGCGATGGTTACAATGCCACAAAGTGTTTGATGCAGGATGATTAGACCTAAATGGAAAGCTGTAATATTTTAACAATGAAAAAAAGACTTCTTACCCCTTAACTGTGGGCATGATTGAGAAACCTTGAGAGCTTTTCAGTGAGACGCTACCATGACTGTGGTTTTTCTTAGTTGAGAGGTCAAGGACTCCATCTGCAAATAAAAACATCATATAAGACCAAACTAAAGATAATCAATCGCCTAAACTGAATCAAACCATCTAGTTTTCTTTTAACTGTAAATAGATTACCTTTCTTTCTGATAATTTATACTATTGAACACTTGAAAGTTCTTTACATACTTTTTGCAAAGTTCTGGTTCAACTTAAAATCATTTCAGCTTTTGTAAACACTGTAATATTCACAATTAATGCACTTCCCATCCAAATACATATCTACTCATAATAAGCTGTAGAAACACCATTATGCAGTGAGTTAATTCTCAACCAAAACAACATTCTGGCTGTCTCAAAGCTAACTTAATTTATTTGATACTATTTTGTTTCTAATATAAAATTGACTAACAAAGATAATGTTATGATTTTAAAGCATGTAATATTACATCTTCCATTACATCTTCTGAAAACTGTGCCAATACAGACAGATATATTTTAATAGCACATTTTCAGTTCACTATTGAGATTGAATTAGTTTTTATTTTTATATTTTCCATTTTGAATTTATTATTAATATTTTAGTAATTTTGTTGCGTTTTTTCTTTTTTTAAAACAAGTCTTTATAGTTTTTTATTATTTCATTTTAGTTATTTTAGTACATCAAGTTAAACTAAATGATGCATGCACCGATACCACTTTTTTTCAGAACGAGACCGATACCTGTATTTTCATGCCATTTGTCATTTTTTTAAATGCTTGCTACAGAAACCAAAAGAATATGAATTCTGTTAGTTGGCTTAGTTCATTTAGCAAATATTTCCTTCCGTTCTTTTCACACTTAATTATGCCCATTAAAATAGATTGTACAAGCATTTGTTACTTTCACTGTTCATTTTATTGCTCTATCGTATTTCATTTTTAATTTAATATCACATTACAGCTGCTCCACTGCAGCAGCTCACAAGTTTTCTTGACGTTTTCTTGTAACAATGCAAGGAACCACTCGATAAACATAAATCTTGTAACAGCGATGAACATATTTTCTGAAATATAAGTCACGTTTTTTGTCATCTGAAACGTGTTGCGACTTCTATTCCAAAGCCACTCATATAATGCGTCTGTCACGGGACGGTGTGGTGTGTGATCAGGCAGGATGAAGACGACGAAGAATTCCAATAATCACTTTAATTAATCCACAATAGGTAATCCAGACAGGTCAGGAACACACACACAAGGTAACATTCACAATAACCAACAAACTAGAACACAATCGACAGGAACTGATATAGGGCAGATAACAAGGGCAGACAGGTGAGCTCAATGAGGTGATTAACTAATAATGAGAACAGGAATAACCAAATATGGACACAGAGGGAGAAACCACAATCATCAGTCCACAGGGGCGTGACAGCGTCAAGCAAGCAAAACATGCACAATGTGTGCACACATTTGTATTGGTGCAGAATGAGAGACACACGTACAGACTGCTAGTTTCACTTTCACTTTAAATAAAGTCGTGCATGCTTGATGTTTAAAATAAATGTTGTTTATAGTAAATGCCCCTATATTTTTTGTTTGTTTTAAATTGACGATTTAGTTTTAATCCAAATCATGCGTGTGCTGAAGGAGCGAACGGCAATCAAGATCATGCTCGCTCTCTCTCTCTCTCGCTCGCTCGCTCTCCTTACCGTCAGGTAACTTAAGTAACTTGTGCATTGTTTTACTTACTTGCCTTGTTTATTTTTAATTATATAGAGGCAAAATATAAAAAAAATATATTTACATTTTTCAGTTGCCTAAATAATGTTTTCAGAAAGTCTTCTGAAATATAATCCTATGTTAAGGACTTTTTGACATTTTTTAAAAGAAAATATTTTTCTGCATACTGCAATACAGCAAAATAGACTACAATAAATATGAGCAAAACTGTTCGTCACCTTGTTCACCACAATCATCAGTCCACAGGGGCGTGACAGCGTCAAGCAAGCAAAACATGCACAATGTGTGCACACATTTGTATTGGTGCAGAATGAGAGACACACGTACAGACTGCTAGTTTCACTTTCACTTTAAATAAAGTCGTGCATGCTTGATGTTTAAAATAAATGTTGTTTATAGTAAATGCCCCTATATTTTTTGTTTGTTTTAAATTGACGATTTAGTTTTAATCCAAATCATGCGTGTGCTGAAGGAGCGAACGGCAATCAAGATCATGCTCGCTCTCTCTCTCTCTCGCTCGCTCGCTCTCCTTACCGTCAGGTAACTTAAGTAACTTGTGCATTGTTTTACTTACTTGCTTTTGACATTTCCGACCGAACAACAAACTTTCCAGTGATGTCTGTGAACGTGCTTTGTGTATCAACTTGCGCACATCAGCTATACAGGCATGAATATTTAATGTTTAACATTAAATTAATTACATAATGTACTTCATAGATATCCTTAATCTCTAATAACTTCATTCTGCTCTCTGTTGTTCTGTTGTGGTGTTTCTTTGTCTGGACACGGCTCTATTCACATGCTGTGTGGTATCGGTGCATTTTAATGAGCACAAGTACAGGAGCAAAGTATCGGTATCGGTATCGGTGCATCCCTACTAAATGAACAGACAGATATTTTAATAGGTAAATTTCAGGCAAATATTTAAACCTTGTTTGATTCATCTTAGTGAATCAGTTCTTTTGAACTGTATATTTGAATGAATCTGTTCAAAACCCTTATTCAACAAGTAATCTGCCTCAATTTTTTACAAATTTCCCCTCTTGAAAACTGACATGCTTTATTTTTTAGAACAAAAACATATTTAGGTAAATTATTGTTTATTATTATTTATTGAAATTTCAGTGAATACAGATAGATAAATATATATATATA